TGGAGCTGATGCTAATAATAGCCGGTCCAGATGGACTTGATGCTAACCAGAGCCGGTCCAGATGGACCTGATGCTAACCAGAGCCGGTCCAGATGGACCTGATGCTAACGAGAGCCGGTCCAGATGGACCTGATGCTAACCAGAGCCGGTCCAGATGGACCTGATGCTAACGAGAGCCAGTCCATCTGGACCTGATGCTAATCAGAGCCGGTCCATCTGGACCTGATGCTAACGATAGCCGGTCCAGATGGACCTGATGCTAACCAGAGCCGGTCCAGATGGACCTGATGCTAACGAGAGCCGGTCCAGATGGACCTGATGCTACTTTGGGGCTAATGCTGTTCTGGACCTGGAGAACCGCTCTAACAGTTTTTCCTGTTGCAGGCTGGGTAACTGCTCCCTGACGGCCGTCGGCTGTTCTCTGCTGGCCTCGGCTCTGAGGTCCGGCCCGGCCCGGCTGGAGAACCTGGACCTGAGCTATAACCAGCTGGGGGACTCAGGAGTGAAGGAGCTGTGCGGCTTCCTGGAGGATCCCAGCTGCAGGCTGCACACTCTGAGGTCAGTTCCCGTCTGCCTGGTGACACCAGAACACCCTGGAGAGGAAAACCCAGAACCCAGAACCCAGACCACCCTAGGTTCTGGGTTCTGGGTTCTGGGTTCTGGGTTCTGGGCCGGTTCAGGCGGGCCCACAGCAGGATTTGCTCACAGTGCTGTTTTCAGGGCGGTTCTGAGGGTCCACTTTGCCCAGCAGGCCGGTTCCTGAACTGAAGCCTGAGGCCGTCTAGAAGCTCTTTCAGGACCAATGATCCACTTTGACCCTCTTTGGGATCAGATAGATAGATAGATAGATAGATAGATAGATAGATAGATAGATAGATAGATAGATAGATAGATAGATAGATAGATAGATACACTCTCTTCCAGAGTCTCTCTGGTCCTAAAGCTCTAAAGTATCCTACTTCCTGTTAGCATGTAGCATCAGGCTGAGCTCTGGATAACAGCTGGATATCAGAGCCTCTTTCTGGATAACAGCTGGGTAACAGCTGGATAACAGC